GTGTGTGTGTGTGTGTGTGTGTGTGTGTGTGTGTGTGTGTGTGTGTGTGTAGGTTACAGAATGGCCATGAAAGGGTTAAGGTGGCAGACAGCTGAGGCCAGTGAGAAGAGAACTTTAGTTGTTACATCAGGAATCCAGTTGGAGAGTTGCTGAGGAGCGCACTGGGCGGCTGCTGGGCTCAGGCTTCAACTGGGGCAGATGAGTTCTAGAGGAGCAGGATTGTGGAGGTGAAGCACAGGCCCGTGGAGGTCATAGGCATGAGGTCCTGTGCAGGACTGGGTCCAGATGGACAGAGGGACAGGGAATACCATGTCAACAGTGGAGACTGAGCCCAGCTGAAGCCCTATGGAGAGTCCGGCCGTCCCTGTGCATTCTGGGTGGTCAGATGCCAGGTTGCTGGGGGCAGTGCCGTAGCATGTCAAGTCTCACCTCTTTATGGGGTGCAGGAAAGAGTGTTGCAAACTTCCTTGGCATGTTTCATAAGCTTTAGCCTTGCTTTCCAATAAGTTTTAGTAAGCTGTATACTCATACAGAAACCCAATTTAATCTGATATATTCTTGCAAGATATTTATCAGTCTGTGCCCCGTGGGTGGTTCTGGGCAGGAGGGAGTGTCTTTGTTCACAACATGAAATAGAGTCAAATGCAGCTTATAAAATGGAGTTGCCCAGGCAAAGCGTAGGCTGAAAGTCACGGTTTTTACAATAACCAGCAACTTAAAGCCAAGCATAGCGTCCTCTCCACGGAGGTACAAATGCCTTCGGCAGCCGGGAGGTGAGGCTCACACCTTGAATCCCAGCACAGAAGGCAGAAGCAGGCAGATCTCTGTGAGTTTGAGACTAGCCTGTCTACACAGAGTGAGTTCCAGGACAGCCAGGCCTCCACAGAGAAACCCTGTCTCAAAAAACCTAAATAAATAAATAAATAAATAAATAAATAAATAAATAAATAAATAAATAAATAAATACGGGTTGGGGATTTAGCTCAGTGGTGGAGCACTTGCCTAGCAAGCGCAAGCCCCTAGGTTTGAGCCTCAGCTCTAATAAATGAATGAATGAATGAATGAATGAATGAATGAATAAATAAATAAATAAATAAATAAATAAATAAATAAATAAATGCCTCAGCAAAGCCCTTCTAGGAAAGAGGACAGGGCTTGGGAGAAGGCAGGATCTATTTCTCAGGCTAAAAACAGAAGGCACATTCAGAAAACTTCTGTGTGCCCAACCCTTTCCCTGTGCACATTTCTGTAGGAAGAGTCTGGATTTGAACTTGGGCATGTGAGACGTGAGGATGACCGGGTCAGGCGACTGTCCTGGAAGTTTGTGTGCAGAGTGTCCCACAGGCTGCACAGATGGGAGGGACGCACTTCAATTGTGCGGACAGCCATCTTTCCCTTTGCAAGCCACTTGGCTCCATTGTTCGGACACATCCCAGGAACATGCAAATTAGAGCGTGTTGAAATGCCTCCGCTTGGCCCAGAGTGTTTTCAAAGAGCGGCCTGCTGTTCAGAAAGAGTCCTAAGCAGCTGGCTTCACTGAACTGGAGAGCAAGAGAAAGGATGTTAAATAAGGATTAGGGGCCTTAGACAGTTAACTCTAAGATGTTAGATGTTTTCCCTGGCTCATTTGCTGGCCTCCCTCTTAATTCAGCATGCAAGGTTTCCATGCTAGAAAGGCCTCATAGGCCTCTGTGTTTTGGGTTATTTTTTTTTTCCATCCAGAGGGAAAGATATATGAATTTAATATAATGAAAGATAAGAGCCAGCTTTTAAAAAAAAACAGGCTGTGCTAATTTTTGGTTGTCTGCCCATTTTCAAGTCTCATTTCCCTTAGTGCCAATCAGCACAAATTGGTGTTAACTAGGATTTTATTTTATGAGTGAAATGGCCTTTAAAAATGGGGATGCTTTCCCCATTTCTGAGCCCAGCCATGTTTCTAATGAGGGTTGTTTTCATTGTGTGGCTGAGAACGGTGGAATCTTGAGCACCTTGGAGCCTACACCTACTCCACGTTTGCCCTGCTCCTTTGTCAGCCCTTGGCTACCTTCTCGAAGAGGAAGGTGTGGTCATCACCCTCAAGAAGAGCACACAGATTGTCCTGGGGGGGCGTGAAGCCGGTCGTCCCAGAGGTTTACGAATACATAGCCTTGCGTTGGTCTCTCTGTTGTGTGGTTCAACAGGCAACCTCTTCCTTTGCAGTTAGAACCTTCGTGACTGAGTTTAAATTAAAGAAGACTTTTCTCAATACGACCGTGGACAACCATTCCAGCACTCACGAGGTTGAGAACGAGATCGCTCACACGGTAAGTCTCCTGAAAGGCCTCCTCATGCTCGTCCTTCGTTTTCTAGGCTGGATTTCACTCAGAATTGTGAATCAAATTACTCAGGGTCATCTGTGTTCCCCAGACTTGCTTTTGTCCTTAGAGGGGAAAGTGTAAAGTGAGGCAAAAAGTGTCCCGGAAACAGGAGAAAGGTGTTGGGACCTGCGGAGTCCAGGACCAATGCTGCTCTAGATACAGGTTCATGCTCGGTTCCTATCTGCTAGGCTGGTTCTTCTTCATGTGCAGACACATAGATAACACAGTGATGCCCTGCACCAGTGTGGGCAAGAGGAAGGACCAGAAAACCCTCATGCCCCATCTGCTGTGGACACCGATGTGACTACCTTGTGTTTTGAGAGCTCAGAAAGGCCGCTGGCATGAAAGGCCGCTCTTTCTCCTCGAAGGACGCCAGCGGCCTGATGCTATTCCAATTAGCCGGCCATGTGAGCTCACAGTATACGTTATCTAGGGGCCTTAGATGCTGCTCCTTCCTTCTTTGCCTTTCTGTCTGAAAAGAAAACTGGAGAAAAAAAAAATCAAAACGGAACTCAGACAATGTGTTCTGTCCTCGGCTGCTGCCCAAGCCAAAGCCTTGGTGTTTTGAGAACCGAAGTTTGCCATTGTACTAAATCAGAGATGAAATGCAATGCAATTGGATTTGCCATTACATTAAATTGGAGTTCATATGTTAGCCAGGAATTAGATGTTCTTTTAGGACTGCAGGTTTTATTTGTATTTTAATTCCATTTCTGTGTCTACCGAGCATTTAATCTGTGACAGGGACTATGTGCCAGATGCTCAGTCCTGGAAGCGGGCAGGTGACACATTTTCACATGGAAGACTGGGAGGCTCTGCACGTTGGTGGCATTGTCTGAATCCACACTAAGTGGAAGCCGAGCTGAAAGCAGTCCCCCTAGGTCACCTGTGTTGCTCACACTAACTACAAGTTTGGGGGTTTCTCAGTGCACTCTAAATTTCAGTAGTTTTTAGGACTCACAGAACTCATTGGAGGCCAGTATCTTCATATATATGGTTCACTGCACTGAAGGTTTTCAGTTAAACTTAGCTAAGGGAAGAAATGCCCGGGGCAGAGTCTGGGGGTTCCAAATGCAAAGCTTCTAGTTGCTCTGGCCCTGGGGTGTTATTGACATTGTTGGTACCTCTTGCCAACAGTGTGAGACTATATGAGTACTGTCCGCCACAATGCTCCTGAGCCTCGGTGTCCGAGGCATTTATTTGGACTTTGCCCTATAGACGTGGTTGGCTGCCCATGTGGCTGACTTCAGTCCTAGACCCTCTAGAGGCTGAGCCGATGCCGAATGACCCAGAGTTCCTTCTATTGTTCACACTGTTAGTGCGATCAGATGGCTAGTGATAGGGACTAGGCCAGATACTCCGGCCTGGCCCAGGAGTCCCAGCTCAGTAAAATCATTATTGTCAAGAAGGACATGGTGCGGCTTAGAAACGGCCTTGCAAGGGCAGAGGCATGACCGCTCTAGCCAAAAGCAGACTCACCGATGTACCTTTGCCCCCTCCTGGTTGTTCTGTAGGTAGATATTTTCCTCTAACAGTGCAGGGGTTAGAGCCATGTGCAAAAGAGCAGTCCTTCTTGGAACACTGTACCAAGCAACTAAGTATTTCTTGTTTGTTTGTTTGGCCCAATATCACCATATAACACACTGAACCACGACACACCTGACCCCAACTAACATGAAGAGTTAAGCAGCCATCGGAGAAGCCACTAGCATGGACTTTCCCAAGACGGCATCCTGTTCATACCTGGATAAAAAGTCAATAATAAAGCACCAATAATAAACCTTTGCTCTTAGACTAGAATGTAATGACTTACAGACCTGTAACCCATTCGATAACATTCTGTGCTTGACCCCATCTTCCCAAGTCAGAGGGCTCTGAACACTGACTTAGAAGACAGGTGGGTCTGCCTGGGATGAGATATCGAGACTCTCTGCTCCATAAAAAGGATTTCCAGCTTGGCTGCGGAGAGCTGCTAAGGAGGCAGACACACAATGCTTTCTGTGGCTGCGAGTCTTTCTGCTCTCTCTGGGGCACAAGGCAAACACACAGCTCTTCATTTATTCTCAACAAAGGAGCTCTTGACCCACGCCATCTAATTTCCCACCGAGAGCCTTTCTGAGGAAAACCTGTCTTTGAGTTAGGTCAACTCACTGTAGATTATGAGGAGCCTGGGGGGCCCATCAGACCTGGGGAGCCGAGAGGAGCTGAGCCTTTTGAGCGTGTTTGTTCACTATGCAGAGTCCAAATAAACAGTTACCTGGTTTTTTTTGAAACCCTGGATCTTAGAAGGGCTCCTCTCCTTTGAAGATGTTTTTTTTCTGAGGGTGCTGCTCTGAACACCTTTTCCTGCCAAGCTTCCCCCCACTGTCTGCCCTGTTCCCTCTGTTCTCGGGGGAACAACAGAAAGATATTCAGGAGGGGAACACAAGGCCACACACACTGCTTTGGGTAAAGCTGCCCTGCTGATAACTTGATGGCTAGAAACCACCTATTGTATTCTGAAAATCGGAAATTGCTTCTGGGTTCAGGGATGTCTGTCTGACGGCCCTGTTCTTCATTTCAGTTAAACTTGTGTTTTTCATCGTTGCCTGGTTATATCCGATCTACAGTTGCTGTGTCCAGGTAAGAAACGGAATTTCTATTGCTTGTGAACCGGGCTATGGAATGGGGGCAGGGGGAAGGGGAAGGGGGGATCCTGTTACCACATGGGTGATCAAAATAAAGCCAGTCTCTGTTTTATGACTAATCCACTGGGTAACCCAAGGGAAGGTCACTGGACCTTCATGCTGTCCTATCCTTTCACTGAAACGTGGCAGAAACATTTATTTTGCAAACTGGCTGGGACCCACATGTCACTTTGGGTCAGTTAAGGTTTTACTAACTTTGCCTGCAGAGAGCCCAGTACAGAGGTGATCTCACTACAAACCACTTTTGCCCTGGCCTCCAATGTGACACTCTTTGACCTGGCTGACGGGATCCAGAAATATGTCAACTCCTGCAGGTCCTCTGCTGAAGTTTGCCAGCTCTTGGGGTCTCAGAGGCGGATCTTTAGAGGTAAGGAGGGATTCCTCTAGGACTCACATAGACCGGAGAGAAATGGGAGGTGGCCAGGGCTCAGGCTCAGGAAAGCTCCTTCGCAGAGCCTACCTTTAGAATGTCTGAAGCACAGTCCTTCATGACACTCAGATGTACACTGTTCTGTCTGCGCATGGCCTTTGGGCATCTGGTGCTTGGCATCCGGTTCCTTCTGCTTCTTCTCTACAGTGCCGGAGTGAGAAGATGCTACAGGAACTGATGGAACCAAAAGATGTCACTCCTGTTTCCTAGGGAGACAGAAAGTGACGTACAGAATGTGTAGACTTGTCAATGATCCAGCAAACTTCATATGGTGATTACTAAGAAAAAAAAAACAGAGACCCATGTGCCGTATTACCTGTCTTTTGTTTGTTTCCTATCATAAAAACATATGATCGGGAGAACGCACAGCAGGATGCTCCCAGGAATGCTGTGATGAAGCTCTCCCTTCCCTGGTTCTTGTCTATTTTGTCGGAGCTCTTGCCCTGTCTTCGGGTAAGGCCAACAAAGAAGGTGATCAGAGACAAATCTTGGAGGCACACTTGCATCTCATGGGGATGGTTTTACGTCTGGGGGAGGAAAACTGACTGGAATCACAAAATGCCTCTAGGCAAAGAGAGCTAGTCCCTGTTGGCGCATTGTAAGTGATCAAAGTGGACTCTCATTAGTTTGTTGTACCATTGGCTGAGGGCTGGCAAAGGAAAGAGAGTCTAGGCTAAGCCTCCCCATCTGGCATCCAGATGTTAGACATAAATTGAAGGTATCAGGTTTTGGTGCCATATCCGGTGGTTGGTCGAGGATATTCCCAGTAGGTCAGGGTTTTGAAACTGCTGGTCCAGGGCCTTTCTTTGCATGAGCAAGTGCGCTGCAGAGCTTGGGAGCCGGCCCTTAACTTTTCATTGTCAGTTAAGCTCTTGGGGGTTGGCTGCTTAGTGATTGGGGGTGGGTGGGAGTGGACTAAACGTAGTAGAGTCGGAGTGTTCTGTTTCAGAGTTCATGCCCTGTTATAATGGGCTGGAAACTTTGAGGCTCTCTGGTTTTAGGGTTTTGTTTCTCTTGCCAAGGACTCAAGGGTACCATTTTTTTTTTCTCTCAGTCAGGTAGGTCCCCTTCAGTTTGCTAACCGTTTCTGGGCTGCCCGTTGTGTGGTCAGTGTTGAGCCAGGGTCCTTTTCTTGTGCCAGCACATGCATCTGTGCTTTGCGGGTCAAGTGGCCGGATGAGGAGGCTTTGCTAGAGCCTGTTCTGGCTGTGCTCACCGCTGCCTTGTTTGCACTGCCCCCGTGTGGTCACCCTGAGACCGTTCCCACTGCTCCTTCCCAATCTCTTGAGAATAAAGACAGCCAGGCACATTAGCCAACTCACATCCCTGCTTTTCCTCCAGACCTTTTCTAGGTTTGGTCAAGGCAGGTCCAGCCCTGTCTCTTGGTAATTTTTCTGGGACTAGAGAGGTAGGCTAGACCAGCGGGTGCTACACACCTGGATTTCCAGCATCTGGGCGGCGAGGCTGCTCTGGACATTGCCGCTGGCAAGCATGGTTTTCTCCCTTCAGTCCACACTGAATGTCCACCTTCCTCCTTTCAAAGCACTTAAGTTCTCACGATCTCCCGAGGTTCAGGGACTGTGGAAATCCCCTGTGGAATGCCTTAGCCTTAGACGCATGTGGGCGCCCATTGTCTGTTTGGATGGATGCTATGCCCGGGAAAGACCATGGGAATTGTGAACGCTGAAGACTCACATAACCAGGGATCGATTTAAGTAAGGCTCTGCAAGGTCCTGTTGGGTGGCTTTATGAAAATGTCCTTTGAGAAGGCTGAGGAAAAGAGCTCCTTGTTGCAGGGCTAGGACCTGCCCTCCCTGTTCAAACAGGAATCTAATGCTGGGCAGGAAATGGTCGCTTTGGCATGGCAAGGGATATTTTTTTGCTAGCAGCCCAGATCAGTGGAGGGGATGGAAGGAAAACTTAACGTTGACTTCCAGAAAATACCTAATCAGACCGGGCAGTTCCCAGGCTAGGATGGCCTGGACAACGCTTTATCCTGGAGGTGCTGCTCGCTGCTAATGAGCTGACTGGCAGAGCCTTCAAAGAAGTCAGATGAGAAGTTGTGGAGGCTGAGGTCTTCCCTGGTGCCGGCCTGCAGTTTGCCTGGAGAGATTTTTTTTTTTTTTCCGTTTAAAAGTTTCCCCTTAAATACAAACTTTTTACAATAAACAAAGGAACCCAGATTTAACACGTCAGCTTCCACTGATAAAGGCAGGAAGTTCAGCACGGAGAACTGAAGCCGTACCCTAACTCACCCCGCTGGGACCAGGCAGTCTCCCGCCTCGGTTCTCAGGACTCTCAAAAGGGGTGGATGCTGGGAATTCCACCAGGGCTGTCAAGTGCTGGCATCAGCTCCCATCACCAGAACTTGCCCAGGCAAGGGTTAATTTTGCAGTGTTAATAACAGGAACCTTCTGAAGAGCTTGGGGGGTCTTTTCTCTGAGATAAAAGGAGGGAGGGAGACTATGCCTACAAAATTGACGCCTCCTCTTGATCGTCCAACGCCCACGCTGCCCGTCTAATTGAAGTTGTCTTCCCATGTTGAATTTGCTGTTGACCCCCAACAGCAACAGCACACATGTGTCTTATTTACCTTGTACATGTGTAGATAAGTTATTAGTCACTATCGAGTTGGTTTCATAGTTCTGCTCTCTCTGTGCACCCATGTACATGTGCCTCTTGGCTTACCTTGGGTGGTAAACTTGTGTTTGCTGTGTAAAACCTCATAAAGGACTTATGTGCCCAGCAGTGGATACTTTTTGATACTAACAAACTGATTCTTCATCGTCCGTGAGGTGAATAAAGCCCACAAATGAGCACGGAAGCGGCCTTAAAGCTGGCCTCCTTCCTCGCCTGCTTCTGTTTCTTCTGGTGATGGTGTGGTGCCTGATGGTTAGGACACCTGACCCCACCCCCGCCCCAGCACATGCTCACTGGCTGGTCTCTGTGCTGCAGACCCAGTGCTGAATGAACCTCAAGAAATCCCCACTGTAGTGGGAAGACAGCCAGACAAACAGCTTCCTGCCAGCCCCGGGGAATTGGGTTACCATTCAAAACTGGCCCTGTGATAAACCCGAAAAAGGCGTTGGGGGCAAAGGCCCTAACTCAAGGAGTGGTCCTGGGCCCCTGAGGACACACGGAGCCCAGACATGCTTCCACTTGAGAGGGGTCTGGCCAGAACTGGTTGGTTTGGGTCCAAGCTCTCAACTTCCCTAAGAACATGGTCACATTTTCTGGGTTTGTTCCAGTGCCCCTACCTGCTCCTACACCCAATCCTTTAACGTGAAGGTACAGAATACACCACACCGAGGCTGCGTTTGTAGGCTGGGCAGTGTCCTCCGCTTCTTCGCTTTGGTTTCTTCATGGGGAATGCTTGTGAATATTTATTTGCCAGCAGTGCCAAGGAAATGAGTGGCAGAGGCTGGCTGTACCGAGCCTCTGAGAGGCATACGGCTCCACGGAGACTCTCGGCCTCTCGAAATGACGAGTGCGTGCATCGTAAGGTGTGGAGAAGAGGTTTGGTTTGGTTTCACTGTCTTGTTTTCCCATCCTAGCGGGCAACTTGTGCAAGCGGAAGAGCCCGGAGTGCGACCGAGAGACCTCCGTCTGCACCGACCTGGATGGCGTCGCCCTGTGTCAGTGCAAGTCCGGCTACTTTCAGTTCAACAAGATGGATCACTCTTGCCGAGGTAGCCACGGGTCCCCAGAAGCCCCAGATGCCTTCCTGGGACAGGCAGGTGCAGCGCCTGCCTTGCTGGCGGTCTCTGCGCTGGGTGTGACACTTCTAAACTGAGGGTAACAGCTCTCTGGGCTCTCTCTATTTGGCTCGCAGCAGGAATGGATACGGTATCTCCCTGCATGTATCTCCTGGTGCATGCTGGTCCCGCCAGGCCTATTCAAAAGGAAAGAGAATGGAGGCTATCACAAGGGCCCCCTCCCCTCCCTTCCAATTAGAAGTTAGAAAAACTGTCTTTATCCCCAAAGCTCTTTCTGTTACCTGCTAATCACTAAAGGTGAAAATAACAGGCACAGAGCTGGGTCTTTCAGGGGCCACTGTGGCTCAGTAGTGAGTGTACTCACTGATGCCCGGGACACCGGGACACCGGGTCAGAGCCACACTCCGCCTCACCAGTTAGGTTTCATATTAAGCAGGCACTTCATTTCTCTGAGCCTGTTTCCTCTTCTTTGAAATGAGTGGTGATACTTCATTAGCTACCCTGAGGATGACAGGAAGCTGTGTCTAAAGCTGTGCTCTGTCACCTGTGGGGGGACGTGCTCTTGTATTTATCTGGGTTGTTGTTGATTTGATGAATTAACATTTTAAAGATTTCTTGGTGTGTTGGAGAGTAGAAATCTAATTCTGCCAGCCTTTTTTTTTTAAGTTTATGTATTTATGATTTATGTATGAGTGCTCTGCATGTGTGCCTGCAGGCCAGAAGAGGGCATCAGATCCCATTATAGATGATTGTGAGCCAGCATGTGGTTGCTGGGAATTGAACTCAGGACCTCTGGAAGAGCAGGCAGTGCTCTTAACCTCTGAGCCATCTCTCCAGCCCCATTCTGCCAGTCTTTTAGAAGAAGCCGAAGGCATTCACTCCATTTGAGACAAAGACCACGTTCAGTGAGCGTGATCCAAAAAGTTTGCCTTAAAGTCAGTTTTATTCAGATCCAGAGTGCCGTGTTCCCTGGCTCCAAAGACGGCTACAGGCTGTGATGGCCAGCAAGGATGACAGTATAGAGGCTACGTTTTCACAGAGCACCGTCTCCAGTTACAATGCGGATGGCACAGATTTCCTGCTCCGTCAGCACCTTGCTGGGGACAGATGTACTGGGATCCTAGAGAAAAATCACATACAAGGGCAAGATGACATGCCACTTGAGTCAGGACTTCCCCTTAGAGGACTCATCTCATCAAAGGAATATAGAAACATATTTGGGAATATAGAAACTTTCATCTTGGCTTAGGTAGAAAATTATTCTGAGGTCCCATGTCAGCCTGTGACAGGGTTAGAACACCCTCTTTCCGAGCGGGGCTTCACGCCTGGCGTGACTGGTCCCCAGCCTCTCATTGCCATGCAGGACTGTTGCTTTGCATCCAGCTCCTGACCCCTTCTTATCGGCTTTCCTGCCCTTCTTAGACATGGGGCTTGGAGCTCGGCTGCGGGGGGACAGTGATGGCGCTGAAGTCTGTGTGTGTGTTGTGGTATTATACGGTGTGCTATGGTGCCTGTGACAAAGGTGAGCAGGACCGTGGGTGTGCAGAGGAGCTACGCCCTGCCTGCCGCCCTTGCTTCTGACTGGCTCCGGCCACTTCTTTCTCCTTCCAAGTCAGCAATGTCCTAACTATCTCTTAGGCAGCCTCTGTCCGAGGTTGCATTGGAACAACCTCTGTAAGAAGGATGTCTGCTACTTCAGTTCTATGTGTAGCTTTGAAAGTATGGCAAAGATAGTCTAGTGATGTCTGTGTGACACAGAGGCATGCGTGTATATCATATAAAAACCTGGCAATGTATAGCTTGAATTATAGCAATTTAGAAAAAAAAAATACGCATTTCTCACTCCTCTGTTTACACAGAGATTTGGCCAGATTTGAGAAGACTTGAGAGGAGAGATAAGAAATGGTGTCATGTTGTGGCCCGAGATCACCTGGAACTCAGCACATAGGTAGCTCCGTCCCCAAGCTCGTGATCTTCCTGTCTCGGCTTCCCAAAGATTCCAGGCATATGTCACCATGATCCTTTTCAGGTTATCCTTTTCAGTATGTGTGCTTTAAGTGACGCAGGTGCCACCAACCTACATTTACCCGGTAATGACTAAGAAACAGCCCGGGAAGACCCTGACTAGCCTTGGGGCTTGTTGAGGAAGCCCCATGAGGCCGTGTCTCAAGCAGTGGTCACGGGCCTCTAATGAATGGATTCTGGAGTTTTGTGGTTAGCAGTGACATCTTCTGGCCATTGGTGCGGGAGCACAGACATTTACAATGAAAAGATGTGTCCTTCCTGGGCTTCTTAGCTTTCTTCCATCAGACAGACGTCAATTCTAGCAACCTTTTCCCCCCGTTCTGACCAGGTTAAGACTAGCATTTTTAAAGGTTTTGGGGGTGGGGGCGGGGGAGGGTGATTTGTTTTTTAAAACAGGGTCTCACTATGTAGTCCTGGCTGGTCTTGAACAGAGATCTGCCTGCCTCTGCCCCCTTAGTGCTGGGATTAAAAACATGCACCATCACACCTGGTGAAATGTTATTTTAATTTTCTGTGGTTGTGTGTCTGTGTGTGTGCTACATGTGTGCAAGTACCATAGGAGTCCCAAAGAGGGTCACATCCTCCAAAGTGGGAGTCACAGGGGGTTGGGAGCCAAACTCCTGCCTCCTGGCCTAGCAGTAAGTGCTCTCAGTCACTGAGCCGTCTCTGCTGCCCAGATCCTAACAGTCTTGATCTCTTCAGATGGCAAGCGCCTTCAAGGTAAAAAGTGTGTCTAAGATAGGGCTTAGCATATTGTAAGAAGGGTTCAAGGGTCTACTGAGGTGACCATAGGGCACCAAATGTGTCTAAGGGTCAGTCTTGACGTAGTGTCCTACAAAGGAGTTATTAAAACTCCACCCTGTACTTTAAGCCTGATTTTGCTTTTTCCCTTAGCAGTACCAGAAACCCGGTGGGGCTGTATATGCAAATTCTCGCCACATGCGTTCTGTCCCTAATGCTCCGGGGACAGAGTCCCTCTGGGGTATGTGTGATGAGGAACTGGGAGGCCCTTTACCGGCAAGGTTTTCCCTAAGAGTCCTAAGAGCAACACCAGGCACACAGGGACACTCAGTCTTTGACAGATGATGGACACACCCTTTAAAAAAATATTTTACATGTATATATCTGTTCCTTTGTTTGTTGTGATTGCATACATACACGCAGAGGTCAGAGGACATCTTAATGGAGTCGCTACTCTTTCCACCATGTGGGTCTTGGGGCTTAAACTCAGGCCATCAGGCTTGGTGGCGGCAAATGTCTTTACCCACCGAACAACCTCACCAGCTTATGTCCTTCTGATTAAAGAAATGCTGGGGCATCATGGAGTCAGGACACTTTCGATGCTAAGTGAAAATAGCTCAAGCCACCAGCTGGAGCGCGTAAGCAGGATGACAGATGGACCTTGCACATGACTGGGTGATAGCCAGGAGCGGAGAGCTCCCACCCAGCAGGTAGATGAGCGTTGGGTGTGTAGCTGGATGGAAAAATGTTTTCAGGAAGAAGTGTTCAGAATAGAATACAGGTGACATCAGCCAAAGCAGGTGGAGAGGTGAGCTGTCCCCGTGGGGCGCAGTCTGAGCCAGAAATCGTCGCTCGGGGGCTTCCCTCACTCCCAAAGTCCCACTGTAGAACATGACACAGAGTAGGAGGGGGAGCATGAGTGAGGGCATGAAGCTTTCTACTCAGGCCAGGAAAAGGCGGGAGCAGTCTGTTTGTTCCGTACAGGGGGGCCTTGCTTTCCTAAGGCCAGCAGAGAACTCAAGGTGGGCAATACAGCCTCATCTCCTCTCCAAATAGGATATGATTACACTCTCTTGTGGAATAAAGCATTTGCAATACCTATTACCTATTACCTATTACCTATTGAAAACCCATATAATAAGCCAGGCAGTGGAGACAGATACTTTTAATCCCAGCAGGTGGATCTCTGAGTTCAAAGCCAGCCTGGTCTATAGAGTGAGTTTCAGGACAGCCAGGGCTACACAGAGGAACCCTGTCTCAAAAAACCAAAAAAGGTTAAAAAAAAAAAAAAGTCATATAAAGAAACAAGATTTTTAAATATTAAAAGGGGGCCAGCAGGATGGCTCAGTGGGCAGGGACATGGGCCTGATGACCTGAGTTCAATTCCCACATCCCCCAAAATAGCAGAAAAGAACTGACTTCTGAAAGTTGTTCTTTGACCTCTACTTGTGCCCCATGACATGCACACACCTGCGCGCGCACACACACACGTAAAAATAAATAAATAAATATGAACTTGAAAACATACTGCCTGGGCAGGGAGAATGAAATGTAATTCATTTACAAAGTAAATTTACTTGTAAATTACAAGTAATTCACAAAAGAAGGCACACAAATGGCAATAACTATTTTTAAAAGTACTCAGCATCCCTAGTCATCAGGGGAAAGCAAATTAAAACTTGTTTGAGATAGCACCACAGCCCACTCAGAATGGCTCGCATCAACAAATCTGACCACAGATGTGGGCACAGGAGCCCCTGTTCCCTGCTGGCGGGGGTACAAATCAATACGTCAGTTTGGAAGTTCCCTAAAAGATTAAAAATAGAACTACAGGAATCAGCTGTTTGGCTGCTGGCTTCTACCTGGAGAACCCCACGCCCTACCAGAGAGATGTTCACACACCCATGTTTATGGCGGCTCTGTTTACGAGGAAATGAAACCAACCTAGATGGCCATCAGCAGATAGAGAATAAAAATGTGGCCTAGGTACAAAAATGAAATGGAACATTAATTCAGCTGTAAAGTAAAAGGAGAGCATGAAATTTCCGGGAATGAGAGGGAGTTAGAAGGTGTAATATTATGCAAGCTCACCCAAATTCTGAAAGAAGAGAAAATGGCCTGTAATGTAGACATGTATACATGCCAACAGCTGTAAGTGTGGGTGTAGTATAACATTTAGAAAGAGGACCTTAGGAAGGATAATGCCAGATAATGAGGAGCGTCCGAATGAGGCAAAAGGACATGAGTCTTGAAGGCCTGCGAATGTACATAGTTAAGGGGTAAGCCAGGCTGAAGGGGAACCTGGCTGCTTTGTTAAGACTGGAAGGAAAGTGAACGTACAGAAGGCTAACAAGTGTATTTGCTGAGGTAAACCATACACTCAAGACCTCAGCTCAGATACTAACGCCAAACCAGCAAGATCATGACTTTGAAAGGAGTCAGAGCGCATAAAGCAAAGCACCCTGGTGGTCCAGGAGACTCCCTATCTTTTGAGGCATTGAGACCCACAAGAAGTTTCTCTGGGCATGCTCACTGAGAGGTTACTGTGGTATCGTAGCGGTGTGGTCCATGGCATCCTGCAATGGGTGGTGCCGTAGGGCTTTCTTGTGGCTGCTGCTTAAGGTGAACAGCCCGGAGTGCGTGAGACTGTCACCCAGGAAAAGTCAGTCTGCCGAGTCCATTGTGTATTCACGGCTCTTTAGTGACGTGGTGAGATCAGTTTCGGGTTATTTGAACAGTGTTTTTCCAACTGTATTCCACAAAGCTATTGCAGTTAATGGGTGACGTATGACAGCAAAATGGATGCTAGAAATATTTAGCTTCTAGCATTAGAAACATGAAGAGGAAAAATATTAAGCGCATCTACCCAGTTAATACTGTAATGCACAAACTCATGGCAGAACACAGGGAGTCTGTGAGACCTCCTGTCCCAGCCTGCAGGGCTTGTACCCACCTACCCCCCCCACCCCCACACCCCCACACCCCCACACCCCACCCCCCGTCCCATGCCCAGCCCATGCTGGCCTTTGCCGCTCACAGCTCACCCTACTGTGTCTCCTGTGTCTCTGCTGTCTGCTCCCTGTTGGCAGGCAGTTCTACATCTTGTGATTTTTTTTTTTGGTCTGATCTCTTATGTGATGTGTATCAGGCATTAATCATGAATCAAATTTTTATCATTCCTTGCAGCAGGGAATTTGTGTCCGGGGCCATTTTTCATGGTCTGCTCTCATCCGGGCACACATCACCATTGCTGGTGTTTGTCTGAGTTACTGGAATGTTGAAAGCATCCTGTGACCAGACAAGCTTGAGAATGGCTGACCCAGGAGAAGAGCTGGGCCTTAGTCTATCCAGGGGGCCCAGAGCTGTACCACCAGAGGGTTCAACTGACCTAGGAGAAGAGCTGGGACTTAGCTTATCCAGAGGGCCCAGAGCTGTACCACCAGAGGGTTCAAATCTTTGTTCTTGGCAAGGTGAAAATAAGGACACTTCTAGATACATGTTGAGAGAGACCAGCTCCCTCTCTTTCCCCCAGGGTGCTCTTGAGGAGGGAGAAGTGAGAAGTTCGTAGATAGAAATATAGAGGAGAAAGACAGTTAGAAACACAGGGTAGCTTGGGAGGGCCTGGGTCCTAATCCACCAGCCCCTCTGTCTCTACTAAAGGGCTTTTAAAGGAATGCCAAGGGGTGGAGCAAAAGACACCCCCCCCCCCAGCACAGCCAAGTGCAGACCATCCCAAACACTTGGTGACCTTGCACGTGGTCCAGCCATCCCCTGATGCAGCCCTGCTGTGTAAAGCAAGCTCGCATCTCACTAGGAAACCTTGGTGGGCCCCCACAACACCTAGGATCTTAGGTTTTCATAAGTGAATGGTAAGCATTATGAAAACCCGGGCATCGACCAGGACTGCGTTCCAGAGGGTGTCATCCACAACACTCCTCCCTCCTGATGGAAGAGGGCTAAGATATTTCACCGCCTCTAAGAAATCATTACTATTATTATTCTCTCATAACCTCTTTTTACTGATGGGGAACTGAGCCACACTGAGGTCAAGAAGAGTTTCTTGATCACTTTAAGAATTGAGATGACAACGGTTCAGGTCAGGATATGGATAATTTTAAAACTTTTGGCTTCTGGAATATTCTTGTGGACTTTTAGGTGTTTAATTCGGTGTGAGTTTTGGTCCCATGGACCCTCATGAATTTCCTTTTCTCTTTCAGCATGTGAAGATGGATATAGGCTTGAAAATGAAACCTGTATGAGGTGAGTTCCCTATTCACTTTTTCTGGTGAAGTTTTTTAAAACTACCCTAAAAGACAGGCCATCTAGGCAGAGAGGGTGGTGGCGCACATCTTTAATCCCAGCACTTGGGAGGCAGAGGCAGGCGGATCTCTGAGTTCGAGGTCAGCCTGGTCTACAGAGTGAGTTCCAGGATGGCCAGGGCAACCCAAAATAACAAAACAGACAGACCATCCTAATAAAGGAACCTATCCTAAGTAAAGAAATTTCTCATATGCATTGCCTTGTTACGGCTTTTGAGATTTGAATGTGAGTCTCCTTTGTCTCTCTCGCCTACAGTTGCCCATTCGGCCTGGGTGGTCTCAACTGTGGAAACCGTAAGTATCCCGAAGTGGAGAATTGTGACCGGGGGCGGGGGGGGGGGGGGGGGGGGGGGGGGGGGGGGGGGCCAGGCCTGCTGACAGCCTCCTCCCGTCTCCACTGTGTGCTTATGTCCTGTGCTGGGTGTGTGAGAAAAACAGAGAGTACGCCCTGCATAGTGCTTTCCCAAGCTCAAATTCTAGAGGAAGAAGCACAGCTCTGCCTGTGCTCTGAGCATGCTAAGTCAGGCATGCAGTGGAGGCGCGGAGCAGAGTCCACACCTGAGGGAGAAGCCAAGCTACTCCGGAGTGTTTCTTGTAAATAATGGAATTGGAGGGAGGTTTAGAAAGACTTTGGGCAGATACGGGGGATGGAGTGAGAGTAGGAAGGATGTCCCAGAGCTGGCCTGGTGGGGGAAGGGGCAGACGAGGGGGGGGGGCATAGCACCATTTAGGACCCATTTACAGTCTTGGGGCAGCCACAGATCCATGGCGTTTTGGGTACAGTTTGTAAGTGGGTGTGCCCAAATTATGGAAGGAAAACCAGACGGGAAGTACAGCATTAGGTTTGCAAAGTACACAGGAAGTTCCTAGGCTGCAATCGGTAACTGCTAGGGAGCTAGCAATCTCAGCACGGGAGAGTTAGATTGGGGGAAAGCCGCTGAGACTGAAGTGAGTAAGAGAGAGCGTACGAGTCAGGAGACTTCAGTGGAGTGCCAGCTGGGGACAAGGACCAGCCTGGGAAGTCACCTGCTATCAGGAGGAATCTTACTCCCTGAAGTAAAGCTCAGCGTGGTCAGGTCTGACGGTGCGGCAAGCGTGACCCAGTCCCTCCTGAAGAGCAGTTTGAGATGTTTTAGATTGGCTTACACTGGCATTTTTTCAAGATGGAAGTTACCTTGAAATTCATGAAACAAAATTTGTGATACGGGATATGGTAGAGTAGAAGAAGAAGAGCAATTAAGACAGTTCCGGGTAGCTTTGCCTCCTGTGGTGCGGGTGAATGTGCAAATGGTAAACATCTACGTTTACCAGCTTGGAAGTAGACGTGATTTTATTCCATGTGTGTTAAGGCTCCCCAGTTGCGAGCCGGGCAGCGGTGGCGAACGCCTTTAATCCCAGCACTTGGGAGGCAGAGCCAGGCAGATCTCTGTGAGTTCCAGGCCAGCCTGAGCTACAGAGTGAGATCCAGGACAGGCACCAAAGCTACACAGAGAAACCCTGTCTCGAAAACAAAAACAAACAAAAAGACTCCCCGGTTGCCATTCCCCTCTGTGTGCCCCACTTCTTATGTCTTAAGTGTACACGGCAAGCTTAGCTTAGCCTTTCTCCCCTACCCTGTCTGTCTTTTTATGGTTTTTTGTTGTTGTTGTTGTTGTTGTTTTTGTTTTTTTGTTTTTTGTTTTTGAGACAAAGTCCCTATATGTAGCCCTGGCTGTCCTGGAACTCACTTTGTAGACCAGGCTGGCCTTGAACTCACAGAGATCCTCTTAACTCAGCCTCCTGAGTGCTGGGTTCTAGATCTTTCTAGTTTTGTGTTCAGAAGAATAGCTGTCATTCAGAAAGGTAGTATTGCATGTATCCATGTTCTGGGTTATGTGCCATTGCTGGGGTTTTTGTTTGTTTTGTTTTTTTTTTATATGACTGGCTGGTCTAGGAAATGCATACCCTGCATCCATTTACTCTCTCAGCTCTTATGGTGAGAAAATCATCATGTTATTTGTTTGTGAAGATTTTGAAAATAACCAGGATTTCTCTCAGGTCCCTGAGACCACTGTTCCCTCTCCATTTATCCAAGTGGCCATCATTATGTCCAGCAGACACTGGACATAATTGCTTGGATTATTGGCTCTAGCCCACTTCAGGAACGGATACTGACAGTTTATCGTTAAACTGTGGTGACTTTGATAGCTACTTCAAGGTAGCGTTATAAAACATTTTATGGTAGCTGATAAAAATGTTATGACTTGTGATAACATGTCAAGTGACACTTGCTGTACATGCTTCAGCAGCACACACTGAGAGACACTTGCCACCTGGCTCTTTATCTGAGGTCTGCACCCAGCCCTGGGTGTTGGTTACGGAGTTGGGGGCACCTGGACATTTCCCCGTTGGTGATGAAAGCCCCTGACTGAGGAAGCCATGACTCATCATTCAGTGTTTTATACCGCCCATCCCGGGGGCTGTCACCCAAACTGATTTTGGTTTCCTTCTTTTAGTTTTGAGATGTGATCTTACTGTATATAGGCCAGGCTAGCCTCAAACTCACCATCATCCTGCCTCCGTCTCTCGGGTGGTAGGTTTACCAGTGTGCTCTCCCATGCCTGGTCTATCGATTTTCTGTAGGCAGGAAATGTCTCTAGATGATTGATTTCTTGGCACAACCCCAAGTGGGACAGATAAGCCAGCTTTTCCCAGCTACATGCATGACCTTGAAGTTCTCTCCTTCCTGCATTCCAGGCTGTCATCCAGTTTCTATATTCCAGGCATAGGCATCATCTGTCTGCATTTCGAAAGGCTCTTGCTGGCTTTCAGGCTTTGCCCAGGTTCTACTCCTTATAGAAAATACCCTTCAAAGGGGTAGAATGAATCATCCTCAAGACTTTAGTCCCCAAGGACACGCAGGCCACCCACACCCAAGGCCCGGGGCTCCCATTGGCTTATCCCTCTTCTTTCCACGGAACATTTCTTTGTCTCTGTTTGTCCCCCACATTCCAACGATTGTGTCTTCTTCTCCCGTGGTCCAGAATTCTTCCCCAGATGTGTGACAGACCTGTCCCTTGTCCTTTGCTCTTTTCTTAGACTTCACGTCTCCTTTGTTGCTTGAACTTCACATTGGGTCCTCCGCACAGGTGTGCCGTGCCTCCCCTGACGCTTTGGGTTGCTTCACCTTTGCCCCCTTGTTCATGTGTGTTTGTATGTATGCATGTAGTATGTATGTATGTATATGTATATTTATGTGTGTGTGTATGTAATGTGTGTGTTTATATATGCGTGTATGTATATATCTGTTTATTGAGTTATGATCTAACATATCTCCCATACTAGCCTAAAACTTACTTTGTAACTTAAGATGGCCTCAAATTCACAATCCTCCTGCTTCAGCCTTCCAAGTGCTGGGATTACAGGCAGGTGCCACTATGCCAGCCAATTTGTTTTCTTTTTAAAATTTTTACTTTGTCATAGCATAGAATGATGTAAAATCATTGATTTTTCCCTTTTTAAACCCCAAGTCAATTAGAGTACAGGTGTAAGGTAAGGAAAGAGGAGGATGCACACCATCCATCACCCATTGTACACCACACACCATCTCTGTGAGGACCAGCAGCCCCAGTTAGCAGGGAAAAAGGAGGATGCACACCATCCATCACCCATTATACACCATACACCGTCTTCGTGAGGACCAGCAGCCCCAGTCACCAGGCACCTACTGGACACAGTTTCAGATC